TTATTATTTTTTAAAGAAAATTTTAATATAATTTTTTTATTTGAAATTTATTTATAAAAAAGCTGTTTTAGAAAGCAATAAGAAAGTTATTATCGAGGATTTTTTTATTACTTTGTCAAGAGATTTTATAGCACAAAAATCTCTTGAAAGCATCAAAAAAATAGCGAACTTGTACTAAAAAAAGCTGCTTTATAAAATAATAATAAAGCATTGTCCCAAATAAAGCCTTAGGCTTTGTTTAGTACAATTTTTTTATTGATTCTTAAAGTGGCTTTTTAATACAAAACTTAAAATTTTTGTACTAGAAAATTGCTTTAAAAAACAGTAAAAAAATTGTCCCAAACAATGCCTTAATCTCAATTTAAAGTTGCCTATTTTTAATAAATTCATTGATCAGAAGTCAATGTTTAATTATATAACCGGATTTGTTCTATCACTGAAGATCCTTCTAGTGTTGAATATTGCCATGATTTTGATTAACGAATGAGAGTTTACATCCTGATATTATGATTTGATTACCTCATAGTCTAATTTCTAACGAAAGTGGTTTTGGGTTTGTTAATGATATGAAAATTGTTCATTAATGGCAAATAGATTTGTTTTAATATGATCTGATTTGTATGCCCCAATTGCTCATGTTGAGTTCTAGTCAACGTCCCAATTGGCTAAAATATATTGATCTCACTGCTTAATTAGATCGAACCAAACTAATTGGTAATTATATGCGAGATTATCTTGTATTTGAAAATTCTAATGCATATCTCACATAATTAACGATAGATAATTAGCATATCTTATTTTTGTGGCAACATTTTGTTAGGACATATTATGTCATTTATATACTTATCTTTTAATAAAATTCTTTTTATATAATCTTATTTCTACTCTCACTTATAAATAGAAAGAAGCGCGAGGAGGAGTAGCCGCCATACCCAAAATCAAGAGAAATGAGAGAAAAATCTCACCAGACGAAAGAGACGAAAGGGCGGCGGAGGCGGAACCCTAGCAGAGCAAAACTCATTGTGAACGATAGTATAAAAAATTGAAAAAAATTAATTTATTTTTCTATATCTCTCTTAAAGCCATTAATAAAAAACAAAAAAATCCAATAACTGCAATAACAAACCATGCTTAGCTTCAAGGAAATTACTAAGTATAAAATAAGATAATATACTATATCTGATCCACACTTACCCCATTGCCGACCTCTTGCTTGAAGCAACCGCTTCACGGGCTCTCAGCAGTTGAGTAAGAAAAAAGCTTGTTGCCTTTCAGCCATTGCCGGCCTGAGAACTATCCTCTAATCTTCGTCCATCTCTGTCCATCATCTTTATTAAGAAGCAAAAGGACAAAGGAAGAAGATGATGAAGATGCTTGATTGATTTGAATGCATACTTATATTTTTATGTAAATGGCGAGTTAGATATGGTCAAGAGCTGAATCTCTATGATCAGTAGCTTTGATTTAGGAGCAAAATTTATTAATTACCGGATAAGACTTGATAGCCATTACAGATTAAAAAATAAAATTATATTTGTTAGTAATAGCTAAGTTTGAACAAAACTTAAGCTTAAATTTTGTAATATTTTTCAAGATTATAAGATAATTTAATCGACAAACTTAACAATCTCTCTGTTATAAATGATATTACTTATGTATTATAAATGGATTAATTTATTGGAAAATCCTGAAGAGCACCTTCAGCTTCTAAAACCCTCTAAGCTATGAACAACATGAGACCTCAACAAACTCAAATATTGTTTGAACTTAGGCTTCGTTTGGGACGGCTTTTTTACTGCTTCTTAAAATAACTTTTTAGTAAAAAAAAAAAAAAAAAAAACTAATGAAAATCACATCCCAGCCTTAAACAGTTGGGGACGTAAAACCATGTAGCGAGAGAATTCTATGTTGAATAATAAACTAATGAAAATCACATCCCTAGCCTTAAATTGTTGGGGACCTAAAACCATGTAGCAAAACAAGATGAGAAATAAAAAATACAATGAAAAAAAAAAAAGAACACAAGGATTTAACATATAAAATTCGAAACCAGAAAAAAAAAAAAAAAAACCGAGGAGTCACATCACATTAAGAAATTCATTATGAAAATTGGGATAAATTGTACACATCTCGTTTCTGTCTCTCTCACCCCTTATCTTTCTTCACTCTTTCACCATGCTCCTATAGAACTGACAAAGAGACGCGCATTTACCATCCTAAGGGATGCAACCCTTCAAGTTAAATATCTAAAATAAGAAAGACATCTGTCCAACATGATTTGTAGTGTTGGGTTCGTAGCGTCGTGACACTATGTTCTCTATCTCTAGCTTGACTAGTAATACCGGGGTCTGGAGCGTCACAACGCTCCACTCCCTGTCTCCAAATGTAGCATGTGTACTGCATCACAGTGCTCGTGCATATAGCCTCATAGCGTTGTACAATTTTACGGGAAAAAAAATTATCTAAAGGGAAAAGCCCTTCGGCCCAAGAAGAGAGAGGACCCCTTGCAACCTCCCGGCGAGCTCAACCGACAAAATTGAAGTCCGAGACAACAATATAACCCAATTGATTAGCACAATTAGATTCCGCACAAAACTAACATAAACCACATTCCCATGGCAGGGTTCACCAATTCACATTTGGTAGATCTGCACGTCATATCATCTCAAAATTATTGATCCATCATAAGTTTTAGTAGAATACTTTAATTCCAGTGGGAGATAATCCTAGCTGAGCAACAGGGTCAATGCTAATCTTATCAACTTTGATTCTGAGTTTGCACTCAGTAATTGCTTGCAGATCATCGAGCCAAGTCATGTCCAACGAAATAGAATTTGACCTGCAGAAGATAATAATAAAAATCAAAATAAATAATTGTAGAAAACTTAATTTATCTCCCCATTTGATCTTCATGAAAGTCAGCATATTGCAAAACTTCAATTGTTTAATTATGTCTATATATATTACTTTTATTGTATAAGCTTAAACCAATACGACAAAATAGGTTTCATACCTCAGACTGTTTCTCAGGTATTTTTATTAAACAATTACCCTTTTTTTTCCATGGATTGGCAATGCGACAAAAGCATTCAAGTTTTTTTTTTGTTTATTTTTTTTTTTAAAGAAACATATATTAATAATAAGAAAACAAGATAGAGCAAGGAAAAGCCTTCAAGTTAATAGCATCACTATGGTTATGCATTGAAATATTCATAAATATGAAAAATACTAATTATTTTTATGATGTTTAATTATATCATTAAGTTTCTAATTATAATTATTTTAAAAATTTGCCCAATTTTATATTGTAATTTTTATTGAAATAGAGTATCCACCCGATGCCACCTTCAAAAGGATGGCTGACTTAGAAGAGACACCCACCTCAGAAATCTCTTGTTCCGCACTTGATTGGACACCACTTAAGAGGTGCTACCGCTCGAGGGGAATCAAACATGGGTTGAGAATTTCCGACCATATTCGCTCACCAGCCAAGCTAAGCAACAGTGGGTAATTTTATATTATAATTTGAATATTACAAAGGACAATATGCCCCTTAATTAAAAAAGATTTAAATATATACATAATATTTCTATAACATATCACACCTCGCCTTTCCAACCCTCTACCAGCAAATGGACAAAATTTTTTTTAATCTTATAGCGAGTATAAGTACCTGAAAGTTCCTTCTATTTTTATTTTAAATGGAATTGCCGCCGCGGCCGGCAAAGGCTTCTCTCTTCGGCGAATCTCCCTCCATCACTACTTAAGCAGACCCATGGACATTGAACTCTGACGAAGAACCACAAATACTAATAAAGGAGAGAGAGAGAGAGAGAGAGAGAGAGAGAGAGAGAGAGAGAGAGAGAGAGAGAGAGAGAGAGAGAGAGAGAGAGAGAGAGATCAGGCATGAGACGGCCCGGTGTGTATTCTGGCATGTTCACAGGGGTTGACGCCTCGTCGAGAATAGGGCCTCACTCGCTGCCTCTGACGAGGATAAAGAAGATCATGAAGAGCTCCGCCGGCGGCAACGTCTCGGATGCCAAGATGATGATATCGGTCGAAGCTCCCATCGTGCTCTCTAAGGTCTGTGAACTCTTCATAGAAGAGCTCACCCGCCGATCATGGGCCGCCGCCGCCGCCCAAGGCAAACGCAAGACCCTCCTTCACGACGACGTTGCTGTCGCAGTCAACGACACCGACAACTTTGACTTTCTTGTTGGCATGGTTTCCCGTGGCGGCCGCCGGCGTGGGGCCGAGGAGGATTCCGATGGTGTCATCACCCATCTGTAGTTAGGAGAGAAGCTCGTTAAACTCTCAATTGATATCTTTTTAACATCGTTTGTTTAAAATATAATATAGAAAATATCTATCATGCATGATAATTGTTGTTTTCTGTAATTTATTTTGAATGATTTGATTGGATTTAATAAAGTTTGATGATTAAAAAAAGTTATATTGACTTGACACGAATTGTATCTCTTATGCTATATTTCTAGCATGAGGAAGAAGATCATCTTCTTGTTCTTGGATGAGAGAGAGAGAGCAAGGAGGGAAGAGGGAGCAAATATGGATCATTATTAATTCAATTGGTCTTTCAAGAGGGGCTCTCAATACATAAACTTATAACATATTTATAAGGATATATACATGTGCGGTGTCTTGTAAGACAGGCCTAATCTAAAATCGGACCGCTACACAACATCTCATGTTATAGATTGAACTTGAGTTGATATATTGAGTTCGAGCTCAGCTCATCTAATCAACAATAGACTCGAGGTTCGACTCATGACCTTACGATTGAATGTAGTTGCAAAGCTACGAAGAAGTGAGAAGTCGCGATGAAAGCTTTTTGAGGAATGCATCAACATGACTAATAGCTTTTAAAGAAAATTAGGAGTTTGTGAGACTTGTGTTGGGAGTTCATCAAATCAGAAGCTAGGAATTCATGGTTGGCATGGAGGATTGGACCAATGAGATTTGAAGAAGATTATTATTCATGAGAATAGAGGCGGTAGCTAGTTATAAACAGGGGCGGAACCCTTTAGCTCTTAGTGGGGGCAATTGCCCCCCTCCTACCCCCAAAAAAAAAAAAAAAAAAAACTATGATCATTAGACGATCGATTGCCCCTTAGAAGAATTATGCACATTGTGTAGAGAGATTATTACAAGAGATTTTATGCAATTTCCCCCCTAAAAGTTTTAAATTACTATGGTCTTTAGGCAATTGCCCCCAGCATAATTAAACACATTGTGTAGAGGTGTTATTTTTAGGGAATGATGAAACAAATACAAAGAGAATCCAAAAATATACTTACAACCAAAATTTGTTCCGAGGGTGCTGCCCATGAAAACCCCCACAAGGGCGCTGCCCCTTGACCCCGCGACCTGACCGAATCCCGTCAGGGGGCGCTAGCTGACCCCTTAGACCCCGACATATTGTGTAGAGGTGTAACCTAATTTTTGTTTAAGAATAATTATCATTATATAAGTTGTTGATGATATTTTTAAAATGTATTATGTATTCAAGTACAAATAATCATTAGTGATCACAAATGATATATATATGAAAAAAATCTCTACATTTTTGCCCCCCTGAACCTTAAGGTTGGTTCCGCCCCCGATTATAAAGATGAGAAACTTGCGATGGGATTGAAGAGTGGGGCCAATGAAATAGAAGGGAGTTTGTGAGACTTAGGCTCCGTTTTTAAAATTTTTATTGATTTCTAAAATAATATTTAAGTATAAAAATGTATGAGTTGGATATTTTTATTTAAAAAAGTTATTTTAGAAATCAGTATGAAAGCTACAATAAGAGCACAGAGGAGAAATGAGAAGCCGATATCGATCCAATATGATCGAATAAAGAAAAACCTACATCGTTGAGGGGCTATTGAGATAAAGGCCATCTTCTTCATTAATTTAGGAAACTCAAACATCGTTCGTGAATTTGATATTCCTTTGATTTTCTCTGTACTAAATTTAGAAAATTTAGGATGAAATCTAATCGATTCTTACGCTGGTTCTTTCTTTCGGGACAAATATCTCTGTACAATATTAATAATTTGATTTTCTATCTTTCTAATGCTTTTTGCTACGCTATTATTAAAAACATCAGAAAAAATGCAATACTTTTTAAATTTTATAAAACGAATTGTACTATTTTAGAATGAAAAAAATAAATTATGAGGTTGTAATTTTGATAAGATGAATTTTAAAGCTGTTAAATTTATTTTAAAAAATGTTATATATAATTAATTAAATTACATTTATCTCAAAAAGGGTTGAATGACTTTTAGATTAATCATAATCAATTAATCTTTAATTAAAAAAATCTGATAGAAATCTTTTTTTTTTACAAAATTAACATTTCCATCTCAACTTTTTCTTATATGAGAAATTATGTCGGATAATCATTCATGTTTATGCCTACCTCAAATAATTCTTCAGTTACTGATTTTTTTTTTTTTTTTTTTTAAAAAGTTTTTTTTTTTTTAAGAAAGTCACACTCAACTAATTTTATTAATAACATAAAAAAATTACATTTCAATTTAATAGACGTTAGTTTTGTGTGGAATATGATGGTGTGGATGAATAAATTTGTACTTTCAATACAATCATATAATGCTGCGGAATGGTGTATCTGAGCACCACGGCGTTATATAGTTTATTTAGAAAGAGACAGAGAGCGGAGCGTTGCGGCGCTACAAACCCGGCCGCCTAGCGCTATGGCGTTGCCAAGGAGCAGTGTGGCGTTTCAGACTTGTTTCCCGGCTCACCAAACTTGGCGCCGCGGCGCTGCTAGGCTAGCTAGATAGTTTTCTCTTTTTTCATGAAGGGTCACCTCCCTTTGTGGTTTTATTCTCCTTAATAATTATTGTAGGAGAATGTTATAAGTGTGAAGAGAGACAATATGAGAGTGAGAGAGAAAGATATATGTATAGATTTTTTTCCCAATTTTAATAGTAAATTTCTTAATGTGGTGTCGCTCCATGTCATTAACGGTAACAAACTGATCAATCTCAACAAAAGAAATATGATCCATTTTAATCTTAAACTTCAATTATCATCTATCGATAGATTAATCACTTCTCCCAATTAACCCTACTAAATCCTTGAAACCAAACTTACCAGAATTCGGAACCATCTCCACCAGTGGCATCGGCCTCTTGGCTCAATAGATTTACTGGATTTAGTGGAAGAAGCCTGCGGAAGGAAGGAAGAATGGCTACCTTCACGGCAAGTTAGCACCTGTCGCGGTTGATGATTTTGAACGAACAGAAAATGACGAGGAAGGATTCCGGTTGGGCTTGAGGAGGTGGGATTTCGTATTCAAAAGGAAGGCACGTCTACGAAGGAGGCAAAGAAGCTTTTTGGCGACTCGTTCAAAACTCCATGTCTCCGCCTATCACATGAAGGCGGCGAAGTCGAAGGACAAAAAGAGTAGTGGAGAGGGGTAGAGTTGAAGAGTAGGAGATTCGCTGCTACAAACTACTGCGAAAACATTAATTTTTTTGTAGCGACCCATGTGCTCTCTATAGTTCTTTTTCCATTAAACCTTCGAATATTCTTCATAAACGACTCACTAATTGGAAATTAGGTTTCAGAAGCTCACCAATCACCATGTGGACCCTCTTCTTTCTTTCTGCTACGTGGATCCTCTTCAATGAAAAAAATATCCGCATCTTCTCCAACTCCTTCAGCAAGATTCTATTTGGACCGGCGTTATTCATCTTGTTTTTTCCTGGAAAGATCGCTGTTAAGGGGAAGAAGACCGATTTTCAAAATTGCTTTGGCCTGGACACTTCCAGGAATTTCAACTCTCAAGACAATCTATGATCAATCAGATACCTCCATTTTGTCTTCTTTTAATTTTTTTAGAGTTTTACTAGTTCCTTGTAACTACACTTCCATTCTATTTAATTTAACTAGAAAGGCCTATTGCCAAGCTAATTAGTAATACAAAAACTTCATCATTAATTTTTTTTTTTTTGCACAATCATTAGAATTGCATAGTGCCTTCATATTCCTAATGTATTCAAATCAAAGTGCTTGATTACCCTTTTGGCTTCCACTCTATCTTTTTGTGAGCTTCTTTGCTAAAAGCAAGCGTCACAGGGGACGAATTATTATGTGCGGACACCGGACGGGGAGAACCGTCCGGTTTGTCTATATGAACAATTTACTGATCATGATGTGCTTTTACTATTCACAGAGGCAAAATCAAACAGTTCTTCCCGTTCGGTGCTGCATAGAATAATCTCTCATCAGAGGGAGCTTCAAGAAACTTTCCTCTTAAAATATGATTGTTGTTGATGTGGATTTATGGCTTGGTCAACCAAAAGTAGTACACAAGAAATTAAACTTCAGACATATTAATGATTAGACCCCTTCAAATAACTTGAAACACATGGGTTAAGTAATTGACACTATAATATGAAGAGAAGTAATGGATGTTTTATTTAAAGCATTTAATTTAATTGAGTGAATCTCAAACTTTGATCATTTCAACTTCTATGAAAGCATCGCTTGTAGGACTACTGTAGGAGTCGGTTTCTATCCAAAAAATACAAATTGACTTGGCATTTGCTCTTAAACAAGTTAATTAGTGAGCTATGAATTGGTTGATGGGAATTAATATCAGAGATAATTTAATTACGAATAAGATTTTATATTATTAGTAAGAGGGATTTATATAATTAGCGCTCAAAATTTTCACACTTGCATATTAATTATTAAATATCTAAATTCACTATTTACACACAAAACACGTAACATTTTAAATAATAATAATAATAATAATAATATTTATAATGTTCTGGCCATCAAAATCTCATTTGAGACTTTATTATCCACAACATTTGTAGAATCTTACGTGTTTTTTGCGGATTGGAATATTCATGGTGGATTCTCTTGATCAGTCACCGTTTATCGAGTATTTGAGTTCCTTAATGATGTCATAATTTGGCAATCTTAGGCTCGTTGAATTTTTCTCGTCAAGCTGACGATTCGACTAATGCTACGTTTGGAAATTATTTGGTCATCGAATTTATGGTTTGAACCTTCCAAATGAGCTTCAGGTCTTCAATTTCGACCCATTTGGGCTCGGATTGGGTCGTATTTGGAGTCGTTTGGTTCGTCATTTTGATATGTTTAGTTCGACGGTAAGTTTGCTGAAAGTGGAGTTTGGATAGTCCTGAGCTTTATTTTGGAAGTTTCCAACTCAGATTTGCCTCCAAATTCGTGCCTCATCAAGATTAATTTTTAATGATATATCAGTGTTTATCCCCATG